TGTGTACGCCCATTCCTGTTTAAATATATATATATATATATATATATATATACATTTATATATATATATATACACCATGTATACATATATCGAATTGGACTCCTCTTAACATAGTCCTCGTTCTCTGTATCAGGTGTTCTGCACGTACGATGACTACAACTGGGACTGGAGCCTCCAGTTTGTCGGCTCGACTTGTCTCAAGCCCGAACTCACAGTTCTGCATTTCAGGCTTGCCCCACGAGTATATCATACTGGCGTCTGGTAAGACTCGCCATTTTTTGCGCTTAATTTTTACCTTACTATGCACTGAACTTTGCTTTTATAAAGATTACGTCAGTAAATCATTGAGCTCTCGGCGACTATGGATGACTGAGAAATTATTCTAAGCTAGGCGTTTTTTTCGCTTTTATGTCTTGGCTAAATTGTGTCCCGGCTTTGGCTGCGTGAAGATAACTCTTCTTCTTCTCCCCCTACTTCTTACTATTTTCAGGGTAGATTTTCATTGCAGTTTCTCCTATCTATCGGCTTGTCGACGCATTTTATACTACTTTATCCACGCACATTTCTTGTTTTCCGCACATCTGTAGATGGGCTATGCTGTGCCTGCAAATGTTCATAGGTCCAATCCTTTCCGTCTTGGTACACTTACTGATTGTCTACTCGATATCATGAAGGTTAGCCTACTAGGAAGGCAGTTTTATTGCGTTGGTCCGACTAGGTGGAGAATGCCCTCCTTGGTACGCTGATTTAGCGCGCAGTCTGTATGGGCGCTTTTGCTTCGTGCTGCACCTTTTTGCCTCGGTATCAACCCATATCCTCTTATGAGACAGCCAGTCGAAGAACTGCTTCTATAGGCCGTCAGAATCATAGAGACATCATTTGCTCAATATTTTGTTGGCATCTTGAGTCGATAGACATTTTCTGGTTGTTAACATCTCCAGACTTTCCTTTCTACTCCTTGAGGCTCACCTTTCATTTAGCATGCCTGTTTATTGCCTGTATATCGCTATAGAGACTGAGAGCAGACTCCCGAGAAGCAATAGGGAAAAGTAGCAATGGTTAAGTGTCAGCAAGACGAGGGCAGACGCTCGGCACGTGCATACAAACGGAACGTTTTTCTAAGTGGCCCTTGTTTAAGTACCGGCGCCAAATATATGGTAAGCCTTCACTTCCGATGGATCGCTAACGGTAAACTTGAAGAATATTTACCCGACTTATCACACTTTTATTTCCAGTTCATAGTAACATTTTCCACTAACTACAGCACAGGCTCCCCAAGCACTCGAATCCACCCCGTTCCTCGTCTCTGGTACCTATCCTAAAGCTGTGATATCGTCCACCCGCGTACGCATGCTCCAACTGACTTTAATGCAATAATCTTTCCTCACCCGAGATTCGAACTCGCGACTCATATATATCATGAGTAGCGATCCGACCGCCTGTGAGGGCTCTAAAGTGAGCTGCAATTCATAACAAAACATCTTGTTCCATAAACAGATCGACGAGCCTCCTACTCTTATCAGATCCCCGATCACAACCGACAAGAACAACGGGCCCGAGACTCAACGGCAGAGTGTTATAGTCTATGATCAAAGTGTCGTGGTTTCTAATGTCGGGTGATCCACATCTGTGATTGGATTATGACGGAAATGGCCATTCCGGTCTTCTTTTTCGATTTTACCTTATCAAAATATGTATCATAAGTCACTACGCGATTGCCTATGAGGGCTCTTGAGTAAACTCCGGAGAACAACATAACATACTGTTTCTTATCCATATCGGTGAGCATCCCGATATTTTGTATTTATATGACGCCAAAACCTGCTGTCTTTTTCACTCACTGCCAGCTTATATTTTAGACAGCAGTTGACTCCTAAAAGCCAACCTATGTATCATAATTGTTGAGAAACATCCAGCGGTCTGAAAACGTCCTGGTTAAACTGAAGTACTAATTTCGATTCCCTAAAAAAGAATACCAAACATAAAAGTCTACATACTTAAACCGTGTACTAATTTAATATAGCCCTTAGAAAGGGGTGCTGAGGATATTGCCAACTGTAGTACCGACGCCATAAGAGGTACGCACAGCCTTAATCTAGGCCCAACGCCGGTCCTTGTTCTACGTCTCAGGACAGCTTTTGTTATTATAAGGTTTACTATATCAATTTTGGGGGAGTGAGGTACATGAGACCAAACTACGCTCCTCCTGGGGCATGGAAGGCCGTTAAAGCTTAACAACCACTTTCCTGCGCATATGTTTCTGACCTGCATGTTGGATGCTCTCATTCTCGTGCAGTTTTACTTCACTACCCTTGTGGTCTGGCCTTTTAAATTGAGAAGTCGAGCACCTCCTTCCGATCTAAGAACACAATAAAATATATTTGCTAAGTCCCTCTGGGAAGGTCCTATGTTGAGGGATATTTATGTCGTCTATATCAAGTATTGCCGTTTTAAAACCGAACCAATCCTAGCTTTATTTGGAGATTACGCATTTGCATGCAAACTGAGCTCAAGAACCTGAATGTTTGTGCAGCCCTTCAGTAGAATATGATGTGAATTTGCACAAGTATCAAAAATGTGTTGAAAAGGTATCATTTCTAAGTATTGTTTCCTTTTCGTCTGGTTGAGTTTGATGGTTTAGAAAAGGTACTTGCCTTAATATACGGCTTCAGTTTTATCAGAAACTCGATGGGGAGCTCTAGGAACGCAGTGGTAAGACAAACTGCTCGTTATTTCGTCATTCATTAGTAAAAAGTTAAGGGTATCTGATTTTCTGTTTTCACATACTGCCTACAGTAGGACATGGATGAAGCCACTTGTCTGTGTTTTCTTTTCATTCCCCCTCTCGTCAGTGGGATGCATTCTTCTCAAGAAGGTTGCGACGTCCAACGTGTCTTAGCTGAACTGCAATCTGATATCGATCTTCGGTTTCGCCCGTGGCTGTTTCCCGAACACCTGGAGCTGGCAACTGCTGATGCGTTGTCGGCCAATGCCAGGCGCAACGGCGGCTGGGCTGATGTACGTGATCAAACGCTCTGTCTCAGTTTAGCCAGGAACAGATGGCTGGCACTGACGGAGCATCCCTCTGTGGTCTCTAATAACAGGGATGTTACGCGCTTAGAACCCCTTCTTAAGGATGTCTCTCTCACCGAAACTGACCCTCTTTCTTAAAGCCCCATGCCTCCTCTTTTTTTCCAAATTTCTCGCGCCGGCTGTGACGTTTTGATAGAAAACATATCTTTTAACTTGACCTTATATTGAGAAGTGCGCTCACGTGCCCCCGCTTTTATTTGCTTTCCTTTTGCGTAATTGGGGATACACTTACTTTCAGGATGAAAAATTCTGGTCTTTCATTTTCAACGACATCCTTTACCTGCGAGCCCACATTATTTTGTGTACAGTTAATGTCCTTTTCTACTGTTTGTTTTGGTTATGTCAAGCACGGCCTGCTTCCCTCCCTTTCTTGTGGGTTTTTCTCCGAGGTAACGCAAAGCCACTCTCGCGTCCATGCCGCGACTATATCTGTGTTTATAGTGATTTCGGGCGTCAAAACGATGTTTCTGCCTCTAAACATGAAAGCCGCAATAGACAAAAATCAGATCCAGGGCATAGCTAAGACTCCTCTGCTTTAATCGTGCATTTTTTTTCGGAGGATAACCATTCTGTTGCGAATGATTAATCCACAAAAAAAACGCCGTATTCTACTACTTTACGTCGTATCCCGTATACTCTCGTTCGAGACTGGCCCTCAACTCTGATGAGGTTCACCACATGTCCCACAGCAAGTTGGCGTTGGGACAGTAACTTGCATGTGAATTAGAACATAATGGTAGCTGGTTTGTTCTGCATCTACCGCACTCCATCCTCCCCTATTTCGGCCTATTGTAATGAAATAGTTAAGAAGACCGGAGGCACGTGTGGCTGGCGCGGCCAGAGTCGCCCCCTATGCGTTTCGCCGCATCTAGTTTAGATTTCACGGAGTAGAAGTGCCATAAAGATTCAATCAAAAGGAATCATTGAGCCTGACTTACAGTCAGCCACTCTAAATAAACTTATTGGACAGACTGCGAGGTCTGAGTTATCCCGTCAATTGACAAAATTACAAGCATCGGATTTTAGCGAACTGTAATAACTTCAAGCACGTCTGATTTGTTTATAATGAGGAAAATACGCCGAGACGTTGATATCATTCTATTTCAACCCCAGTCGAATTTCCGATCCGGTCACTTGTTTGGTGCGGGGAATAGACTCAGTGGTTGCTATAGCTGTTGACTGTGTGTGTGCCTGCCACGTGCACTACCTGACTTCCGAAACACCATTATCAGCAGTTCATTCTGGAGAACGTGACGACTCACAGTGGCATTGAGGTCACTTTAAGAAGGAGCCATTGCGACCTGACTCTTACCAGTCGGTGAGCATACAATATACAAACAGACTTGGCTCGCAACGAGGACTGAGAACATCTTTTTCTTCAAATGGTATTACTTTGTTTAGATAAACCAACTTTTTAGAAAAGCGGAAAATTCCGAAAACTTTAAAAATCGGTATTATTAGGTAAACTTAAGTCTTAACTTTAGACAAGGCCCGTTCATGCAAAAAGCGGAGTATTTAAGCAACACAAGTAGAATTGTGTTTAAGAAGAGTCCTTTTGCGAGTTTTTGGGTGAAATATTTTTCCGTATTATGCTAATGTACTGTACGTGCGTGTAATTTTTGTTGGGCCATTTGTGAGGTAAGGAATGGTGAGGAGCGATGTGGTTTGTGCGGTGCTGTTCTACCACAGATTTTCGTAGAACTACACCTGGCCTTATAGGCACTTGCGGCGAGTGGATTAACTTCAGTAATGCGGTTGCTGTATTTTGGTGGTACTGGTCTGTCAGTCTATGCGAGCGACCGGCCAGACAGATGCATGGTGTGCACTGGCAAAGAGGACGGGTCATGATCGAGTCTCCTTTGCTGGTGCTATGGACGGTGGTTTTAAGGATAGTGGTCGACGGGAGGTCGGAATTGGTGAGAAGTGGTTGTCCTCGTAGCCTTCGCGAAAGTTGTGGCAGGAATGATGGAGGTGACGGTGGCGGGGCCTCAGAAGTGGAAGGTCGTCATCTTGGAGAGCGTGGGTGTTGGGGCAAGTGTGTTTGGGGCTGTAGTGGTTGCTATTTCCGCATTTTGTCCGGGGATGTCTGACGAGGCAGATTCGCGTGCGACGATGCTTTTGTCAGCGTGGGCATATGGCAATTAGGTGGTGTTGTGCACCCGAGGTGGTGGTGATTTGCGAGCAGCTCTTTTTGATTTCACAGCGATGACCCTCTTTGCTAGGTAGCTTGCTGCGCCAGTTTTTCTTTTCCTCTCCAAGTTGGTATTTCATTAGTGAGATCCTCCCAGGTGTCATGGGTTGATCTGCAGTTGTTTCAGAGGTTGTTTAAAGTGTCCTTTGAGTGTTGTGTATACCCTTCTTGTCAACGAGTACATATAGAAGCATCTCCGCGGATGAGTCCTTTGGGTAATCACTCGTTTTCCATTTTAACCAGTTCACCACTCACTAGTAGGTTTCGGTAGCCTCACATGTGGACATGTTCATGAAGGATGGTGGGCACGTTCACCGTAGACCGCCTCACAAGCTTTGCTACGCTGCCTTCGATCCGGCGCCCTGCTGTCCACCTGGAGGCGCCTAAGAGATGGGCAACTCAAGACTTGGCTCGACATTGTTTGTCAAGGCATCGAATTGGCTCTGGGACCTATCATTTTCGGTTCCCGTCGCTGGAGAAGTGAATGAGTGGAGCTTACCAGATCCGCTGCCGCCAATCGTCACGCGTGGAGAGATACCATCCGTGACATCATTGAGGCCGGATAGATCAGGAATGGTCAGAGTCAAAACAAATACAAGCAGGTTCAGAAGCCTCAACATGACCTGGACGCTGAGAATTACTTCGAGATTGATAATTTATGGAAAAAGCAACATGTTCATTTGGGATTGTGGTGGTGATGGTTTTTATACTGATGGGGAGGATAATTTTCATGAGCATACAACTTATGATGACAATGGCACTCATTGCAATGACAGGTACGGTTTTGCCAATAGAAGTGAACATGCGAGTTCCAGGAAACAGTTCAGAAGAAGAAGATGCGACCACTGAAACAAGCGTTTTAATTCCCTGACGTTTCGGATTCCGTCGGGAATCCATAACCATAGGTAGTGGTAGGTTAACCGGAGCCATGCACAAATAAGGGTAAAAACATGCACAGACTGCACGGTATTTATAGTTCGTAGCGGTCATCCGCGTGCGTACTATAAGTATCTGTCCGTCTCTTGTAGTCAGCGCTTGGGGTCTTAATTGGTGTGTTGATGATGCGGTACGGTTTTCATAGTATAATTATTATTCATTATAATGGCTCTGGCAAACATGCTGATGTAAACCTTGACAACGGTAGAGATAATGTTGATAGTCATGTCGTTGACACTGATCAATGTGCTTGTCGTTTGTGGGGTACCACAAGACAGCACAACTTCAGTTGTTTAAAAAGCGCAGAGGTCTCCTAATTTCCTCTTAAATTTACCCGTTTTTGTTAAACTTTAACATGATTTATCAATGCCAGTACATATTTAAAAGTGAAAAATTCAGGCATCAGATCATTCCCCTAAGTTGCCTTTTTCGATGTTTTACTGTTCCTCTTGGGCCGTTTCAAAAACGCATTTTGTCGTTCTCCGATAGCATTTTCCTTATTTGTGGAAGAACATTAATATAACTAAAAGCAGCGTCGGCCGAAGAAGTCACAAAATCAGACGAGTAGGGCGCGCTAAACGAAGACAATTTCAGAAGTGGTCAAAAGGTTAGCACAGTAGGTGAATTTTATGCAGGCATGTTAGTATGAAGCAGGGAGTATTAATGTGATCTCTTTTTTGCCGGTGACCAAAATACGCACTTAAGAATGCCAAGCTTTCTTCACAGTCTAACCTTCCTATTTTCATAATCGCGTCGATTTCCTTTAGAGAGGGTTAATTTACCGCAATCGCTTTACGTCTCGGGTTTTATTGCTCGTTTCTTTTCATGGTGGTTTCCAACTTTTGAATGTTTCATTCTATAGAATATGACGTATGCGGTCACACACGTATATCTACGCGTCATCACAATTAAATAGTTAGGAAATGTTGTTTATTTTCGTTTGCCAAAGCCCACACGGAATCTTTTGGGCGAAATGAATGCTGTGATATCTGCCAAGGCCTTGTCCATCGAACTGATTTATCGCTGAAACCGAGATAGCATTGATAGTATACTTAAGCCCTGGCGATAGATGACTTTTAAGTGATTCATAAGTGCTGCTCGGACAGTAGCCATGTCTTGCTCCTCAGTGGCGCTCTCCGGGCATTCCCCACAAGGAGCGTTGGTAATGCCGAAATATCCACCTTGAAATTCATATAGCCACGGTTATTCAGTCACCCAACTCGAGCATCGGTCATCAATAGTTTTTTCAAATTTTTAGGTGCTAGAAAGCATTTAAATTGCGGTTTTACAGATGAATCCACCCCAGACCACCATGCCTCGCCGGGTACATTTTAGCCTGACACATGTGTGGTCTGGTTTTAGTCGCGTCTCACGGTGTAGGGAAGAAACAGCTGAAAGTTGCAGTCACTGCGCTAAGGAGCTGATTTTTGCGTACAGCCCTAAGACTCCTAGCGCTCACAGCTCTCCCATGTGCGCCGAATCATGCAACCCAAAGGAAGACTACCCCCTACTGAAACATCCGCAGTTGTTTACAAAATACGTTGCAACGATGGAGACTGCAATTACGTTGGAGAACCAAGGCGCAAGTTGCAGACCCGCCTACGCGAACACAAAGCGGCGGCCCTGAGACTAGACCCAAGCTCGCAGCTTGCATCATATATCGGAGAGACTGACCACAGCTTCGATATTTAAGGAGTGACCATTGTACGCCGAGGAGCCTCAAAAGCGGAAAGACTGACGCTTGAGGTATGGCACTCAGTCGCCAACTCTGTTAGAAGACACCTGGACCTGCCCACGGCCTACAAAGTCATACGCCATTACGTAGGTATAATGCGCGGGCAGGACTGTTGTCTTCTACCGGGCGACTTCTTCGAGTT